CTCTCTCTCTATCTCCCTCTCCTTCATTTGGTGCCTTTGTGTTGTTCTTGAAGCCTTGGAAGGAAGAAATATGAGGAAGTAAGCTTTGATTCAGCAAGCTAGCCCTCATCCTTTGTGTTATCAATTTTTTGGACCCTTGTAAGTGCCAAACACTCGTTTTTATCAAAGTAGATTGCTAGATCTGATGTTTTTGTCCCTTAATACTCATGTTTTATGAGTTTGAAATGATAGGATATCATAAAGCTTGCAACTTTATGAATCTATGGGACTTTGGTTATGATTATTGATTTGGATCTCGTTTCTTGATGGGTTTTGAGCCATGCATTTCCATAGAAAAACCCTCTTTTTTAGCTCAATATGGCTTCAAGACATGCATGACTAAAAATCACCAACATTTATGTTGGATTAGGTATTGGAATCTTTTATGGAGTAAATGAGCAGTAGTAGTAGAGCATCTGTTGTGAGGTGAGTCTCCTCACTGTGCTTGTTAGTCGAAGGCACCAATGATGGCCCACCAATTTGTTTATGTAGAATGCTAGCTGATATATGACTCTTACATCTTTGTATGATTGGGTTGAAATATACCATGTTTGTATGATTGGGGAAATAGACCTGGGGGGTTGAGCCCATATTTGTATGATTGGGTTGAAATAGACCTCATGGTTGGACCTATGAGTATATGATGGGTTTGAAGAAACCCCAGGGAGAAGCCCATATTTGTGTTTTGGGTTGGAATACACCCCAATGTTAGGCTGTGACAACCTGAAACTCCTATCTTGTACAACTATTCAATTCAATCAATGCTAGACCCGTTTGTGCTACCTTTTAGCACTGTTTAAGGTCTGTTTGAGTGTTCTAAGCTTAAGTACAATCAAGGTTGAGATTAGGGATGAGTTAACAAAGTCGTAAAGTAGCATTTCGGGCCTTACACTCCTTCAGGAGGAGTGTACGGTCGTACACATGGGTGTACGGCCGTATACCCCCCTCATGGCCGCACACTCAAGGTGGTGGGTCACCCACCCCTATATATATGAGTAGACCTCACTTCCTTTATTTCTTTCTTCCCTTGGCTGCACACCACTCCATTTTCTCTCAAGCTTCTTCAACCGTGAACCCTCCAAGGCTTCAAAAACGTAAGTATTCCATCCTTTAGCTTGTTATACTTGAAAGACCTCTTGATTTAAGCCTTGATTCTTCAAGTTTCAACATGTTCTTCATCCTTTGAAGGAGTACGGCCGTACATCTTCATAAGGTTGGCCGTACACACCTTAAAGGCCCTCCAAAGTGTGAGTTTAGCCCCTATCATCTAGTTGGACATGTTAAACCATTGATCCTAGCCTTGTTTCACCTTAAAATCGACCAAGTTAGCATGAACATGAAGGGTGTACGGCCGCACACCCCTTGTACGGCCGTATACACCCCATAGGGCTGTAAACCCACTTTGATGATCATTGATGGCCTTAAACTTCCAATAAAGCTAAGCATGGGACCAAGAACACTTCCTTGATGCTTCTTAGGTCCTTAAAACACCTCACCATGCACACTTCTTCATGAGTGTACGGCCGTACACTCATGGGCCGTACACCCATGGCCGTACACACCCTTAGTGTGGCTACACACCTTCCCCATTCAATCACATATGCTTTTAACACTTAGTTCAAGTGTTTCCAAGTCCCTAGAGTGGTTTCCGATCATGTCTAGTAGTGAAATACCCTAATTTGATTCATATATGTGTTATTACATGCTAAATAGGATCCATTTGTGTTCGAGACTTCACTTGACACTCAGCTTCTCATATCGATCTTTCATACAAACCACTCACTCGAGGTGAGTTCATACCCCTACGTTTTTATAATTTTTAATGTTTTCAGGGGGGAATACAAGCCAAACACAAACGATTTTGTGAAACAAAAACAAAAGGATTTCAAAGAGTTTAAAACTTATTCAATTGATATAGTTAGATGATTTCCCACGTTTTATGAAACATTTAGACATTTTATCCCTTTTGTATTATGCTGAGCATAAGTGATGTTTTCAACTTGGAAACAAAATTGCATAGTTTTCAGAACAATTTACAAATCAAGAACAAAACATTTCAAGCAAACTAGAGTGGGTATAGTTTAGGGAGTTCAATACATAGCTTTTACTGATTCAAATTTCATTCATGGGTAAACATATAAACTATGACCGATTTAGTTTATGATATACATTACTACAAGAGAACAACATTTAATAATTATTTAAGTATAATTATTATCTTATACATTATACATACAGAGTTCAATACAGTAGATTACTACAGAACCACACGTAAACTAGTTAATACAGGATTGTGAGACCACTCTTCATTTGTATCCTTCTGGGTACTGGTAAAATCCTCAACGTTTAGTGTAACCAGAGTCTCCTGGAGGGAGATCGTGAGATTTGTGAATAGATCTATTCGAGACTAACAATCCCACACCTAAACTGCTAGCTACAGTTAGGCAGGCATGCCTGGGGTGACAAATATCATACCGTACGACGCCTGAAGAACGTCGCTGAGGTCACCAGTCATATCAAGCATGGTTATACGACTCACAATAAGTATAAACTAACCTTTGTTTACGAGATTTCATTCTTCATTAGTTTTATTCTAATTAATAGAACTATTATACACTACATTTGGGGATTTCAGAAATACAACACATGGTTTTATTTAATAAAACTACTATACATAATGGTGGTAGCCAGGCTTTTCAAACATAACATTTCATACAGTGGTTTTTCATACAGAATTCATCATACTATACATTCGAGTAGTAACCAAGCATGCAAACTAATATGTTTTATACTACAAAGGATACCGTAACAAATATTCATAGAAGGAACTGGCAAGATCATGCTTTTACTAAAGAAAATATTGGATTTTCTTGGAAACATACGAACATTTTTACAAGATTCATCAACAAGTTTTCACTACAAAACATCGCTTATGAACTCACCAGCTTTATGCTGATATTCATTCAAAACTGCTTGTATTCTCAGGAAATCAGTAGACAGGTACCACCTGGAGTTTTGAGAAGACGGAGCGTTTAGGGTCACGTCTTTATGTTTTGCTTATACTTCTTGATGTATTACAAACAAGACTTAAACAGATGTAAACCTTTTTCACATATGTATTCAATGTAATGGTTGTGTTTACTGTGATTGCTATGATACAATTGTTGTGATACTACACATGACGTCATCCACCCCAGAACGTTTCCGCCGTTCAGGTTTGGGGGTGTGACATAGGCCCAGTTGTATGTTTGGTATGTGGTATTTTGCAAAAACTCACTAAGCCTTGTGTGTTGACAGTTTATGTTTATGGTTTCAGGTACTTCCAGTCCGAAAGGGAAGGGCCCGACGTGATGGCACAACATCTTCCCCTCATGATTTCCACACATTTTGGATAATTGTACTTTGACATTTTGACATTGTATTTGGTGATTGACTTGGAGATGTTTGGTGAATGAAACTATGGGTTTTAAAAAATGAAAGATATTATTATTGTTTTTGGGTCGTTACACTATCTGCGAGCTGACTCTTCTCATTATATTACTTATGCCATAGTGTATGCATGGTAGACTAGCTAAATCTTATTTGTTGTTTGTTGTTATATGATTCATTGTTGTTGGTAACTTCTTGGCGTGCTGTTAGCCCACTGTTACTGCTGATAGTCCTCAAGGTTACTGATAACCCATAGAGTTTGTTGTTAGCCCATCGGACGTGCTGTTAGTCAATAGGATGTGTTGTTAGTCCACTGGGAGTGCTGTTAGCCCGTTGGGATTGCTGATAATCCACATGGTTGCTGATAACTCTTAGTTATTGATTTATGCTGTATTGTATGTGATATTTTGGGAGAACTCATTAAGCTTCGTGCTTAAAATTGTGGATTAAATGTGTTTCAGATACTTCATATGATCGCGGGAAGACAAATGTTTGATTGTACACATCTGCCTGCAGTTTTTGTGATTCTGCATGTTTTGATACTCTGATATTTTGGAATGACTGTATTTGATACTTATGATTTTCTTGACTTGGGTTTCATGAAAACAATCTTTTATCTAAATTAAAAATGAAAAATTTACTATACAAATAAGGCGTTACAATATATATTAATATTATTATTAAAAAAAATAAACGGGTGCTAAGAACCTTCTTCATGCAACAGAGATACCAGATCCGCCCTCGAACGTCTTCTTCATGCAACAGACAGATCCGCCCTCGATCGTGTTGGTTCTCATGCATTCCACAACGAAAGTTTTTTCGAGATAAAGAGTAGAAATTAGAAAAACATGACTAATGACATCAAAAGGGTGGTTTCTGGCTAAGGACTAGAGCTAGAGGTGGTTAAAATGCTAACTGGTCAAATTGGCTAAGTTTCTTTGATTGAAAGTTTTGTTATCTCTAGCGTCTTGATAGTGTTTTTTATATAAGTTTCTTGCGGCTTAAAAGAAGAGGTTTATGATATTAATTTTTTTTTAACTAAAACCATGTAAAACACCTTAAATGAATTAACCAAGCTCAAAAATGTGACAATATGTAACAAGGCTTTGAGCGTATATAACATGAAAATTACTACAGGAAACTCTAAAAGTGGAAGCAAGAACTCAAGAATTGGGGAAGAACATGGGTAACAATGGGGGACAAACGTAGGACCCACCTCACCGCCCATGCGCACGCAAACTTATCTCTCTCCTCTTCCTTCATGACCTAACCCTAACCCAAACAACACTTAGCAGCACAAGAAGAGCATCTTTCTCTCTCTCTCTAACCTTCACCAACAGCAACCAAATTCTTCATATATTATTTTCTTAGCGGATTCAGAAAAGTGAGTAGAGAGAAAGAAGTTGCAAATATGGAAGATTCAGCTCAGAATTTGGTTGGGTTTACTGGTGAAGGTTAGAGAAGAAACCCTCAAGAAAGCCAACAAAACATCTTTGCTACTTGCCTAGAGGGTATTTGGTCAAGAATTCAAGATGGATCCAGTCACTGCCCATGGTCGTCATCTACCTCCTCCTTTTCATACTAGAGATCTGCAGCTGCACCACCACCAGCAGTTTCAGCAACACCATGTTCATCACCATCAGCAGCAACAACAGCAGCATCATCAACAGCAGCCAAATTCCGAGGAGGATGAGCAAAGTGGTGGAAGTAGCAGCCTCAACCATGGCCAAAAGCGAGAGCGTGAAGAAAACCACAACAATATTAACAATGATGGTAATAGAGAATTGGCGTCGGTTGTGACCGGTGGCGAAGGAGATCATAGCAGCGGTGGTGGAAGTGGTGGCTCTAGACGCCCTCGCGGCCGCCCAGCTGGCTCCAAGAACAAACCAAAGCCACCCATAATCATCACCAGAGATAGCGCGAACGCGCTGAGGTCCCATGTGATGGAGGTCGCTAATGGGTGTGATATTCAAGAAAGTATATCGAACTTTGCGACGAGAAGGCAAAGAGGGGTGTGTATATTAAGCGGTAATGGCACAGTTACCAACGTTACACTAAAGCAGCCAGCGGCACCGGGGGCCATTGTGACACTTCATGGGCGATTCGAGATCTTATCACTGTCAGGTTCGTTCCTTCCTCCGCCAGCTCCGCCTGCGGCTTCAGGATTGACCATCTACCTAGCTGGTGGTCAAGGACAGGTAGTTGGAGGTGGAGTAGTGGGGCCTTTGTTGGCGTCGGGCCCTGTAGTGATCATGGCAGCATCTTTTGGGAATGCTGCGTATGAGAGACTTCCTCTTGAAGATGAAGAAACTACGCCAGGTTCAGGAAACGGGCCTCTAGGGTCGCCTTCTGGTATTGGTAGCCAACAACAACAACTCATGAACGATGGAAATCCATCGTTATTTCATGGGTTGCCTCCCAACTTGCTAAATTCATGCCAATTGCCAACAGATGCATATTGGGGTGCAAATCGTCCCCCTTTCTGAAGCGAAGGAGTGTAACAGATCTTTCGGTTCATTCTATTTTCATTTAATTTCACCTTTGCAAACCTCTTCCTTTTTCGGATTTCATATAAACTAGTTGTGTTTGCGATGTTACTTACTTAATAGCATGTTTGCTTTAAAAATTTAGGGTGTAAAAAGTTTGTGAAAATATTCTACCATATGGCTATGGCCTTCAGTTGTTGAAATTATGACGCTATTGGATATCGACCGATTATGATATTTATCAAGTGTTCAAAACTTCTCCAAATAAATTACCAGACTTTGTGTTCGAATGCTAGTTAGTGAAACAAAAAAAAAAACAAAAATCCCACAGAAGTCGTTAAGTTATAGCAAATTAATAATCAAAATTTGGTATGGTTTTCTGGGTCCTAGAAAATATATATTCCAGGGGCTCCCATTCATTGATATTTTGTAATTTTAATTTTTTTTCTTGACTTTAATTAGTTAATGGACAATCTTGAAAGATATAATGAAGATGTACAAAAGCTACCTAGTTTAAGTATTTTAACGTGTCTATAGGTTTCCTTTTCTTGCAACATCACCCATAAAAACCTCAAAAACAACTTAAAAAATTCAACCTTAAAAACCTCATTTTAGAAACCCCACAGTTTATGATTGTATACTTTCTATTCTCCATCATCATTCAACAAATTCAAATATATTACCGTCTTCCCATATAAATTATTTTAAAAAAATTACTTTAAAAAAATTATAATTTGCTCTTTTCTTTTACCTTTTAATTGCTAAACAAATATCGTCAATATCAAAGTTAATAGTTAAATACATTTGACTGCAAAGAAAAAGCGTGATTAGTTTTTGGACAATGAGAGTGTACGAATACAAAAACTAATTAAGTAAAATTCATAGAAAATCAACTTAATAATTAAATATGTTAAACACAAATATATATCGAGTTGCATATTGATTAAACCTGTTATTGTTTTTTTCTTTTTTAGTAAAAAATAATGAAATATTACAGTCTAATACTGTATTTACATTCATATTGAGTTGCATATTGATTATAGATATATTTTTTTCTTTTTTGTTAAACACGAATATATATTGAATTGCGTACTGATTAGCCTGTTATTATTTTTTTCTTTTTCTGGTAAAAAAATAACAAAATATTACAGTCTAATATTTATATTCATACATGTATTTAAAATTTAATACATTCATTTTAGAAACCCGCAAAAAAATACATATTTTAACATAAGATTCATATAAAATTCAAAATTTAATACAATTCATTCACAATTTAATAAACAAAATTCACAGCTTATAGTACATTAAATTCACCTTTATTACACACATTCATGAGATCAAATAAACAATTCACACATTATTACACAATATTTATGGGATCAAAAAAACCATTCATAATATGAATACATCTCATACGAAATTAATACATTAAAACGAAAAAAAATACACATTCATAATTTAATACATACCCAATCCGAACTCACAACTAAATTTACAAATAATAACTTATCAATTTTCAATGAGGCATTTCATCAAGCACATTTTATGCACCACATGATGCGGAGTTTCATGGTGGTGTTAGGCAGTCGATATGGTGGTGTTTCATGAAAGGTGTTTTAAATCCCAGCCGACTTCGGCGGAACCTTAACAATTTATGGCGGCGAATTCGTCGAAACGCTAGCTTTCGCTAGAACCCTAGAAACTTCATATTTAAACAAGGAAACCAAGATACTGAGTAGATCTTCACACAGAGATAATATATCTGGATCTGGAGAGGAAGAATAATCATTAGATAACAGAATCAAACATACCTTCAAATAGGTCGTGAACAAATCCACAAAGAGAAAACATTTTTTATAGATTTGATACTTGATGAAAAAAACTAGATCTAAAGAAACTTAACTACGAAATCATGAGCACGAACCATAAAACGGTGCACATATATGGAGACAAAGCAAATTTGGAAGGGTGGCGACAATGATGGACCTCGCTCGAGGTTATAAGTGGTTGACGACGGTGGTGATTGTATGGCGTCGATGACAACAACAATTTACCAGAAGAGCAATGGGGTGAAGAAGCGGAAGTGGTAACAATCTTTGTATGTCATGTCGTCGTTGTAGGCGGTGACAGTGGTATGGTGGGTATCATTGGTTGTAGAAATCAAAGGGAAAGATTATTTGTTTTGTCGAAGCTTGTTGAGAGGAGAGAGGCAAGATCTGATTTTGAAATATGATGAGTTGTGTTAAATAATTAGGTTTTCATAAAACTACTAGTAATAGAAATCAAAATGAGTATATGTTAATGTTGGAATAGACAAAAATACTCTTATTGAAAGTGGTTTATATATATATATATATATATATGATGGTTCAAATAAAAACAGTAAATAGTGTGAAAATGTAAAAACACTACTTTTATGTTATTCTTTTGCAATGAATTTTGTATCCCCAACTTTATGTCACTATTCAACAATGAATATACGAATAATCACACGTTAAAACTAATATTAGAATTTACTACATTAATGCACACATACAAAATTTATAATAGAATAATAAGATTTAATGAACATATAAATAATCAAACGTTAATATTCACATTAGAATACTAACATAAACATAATGTTTTTACGTTTTCACAATATTTAGTGTTTTTATTTGAACTTACTTATAAATATATATATATATATATATATATATATATATAATATATATATATATATATATATATATACTAGTAGTAATTGAAATCAAAAGGAGGATATGTTAATTGGAATAGACAAAATACGCTTCGTGAAAATGGTTTCTAGATGGTTTATATATATATATATATATATATATATATATATATATATATATATAGATATATATAGATATATAAACCATCTAGAAACCATTTTCACTATGAGTATTTATGTCTATTCCAATTAACATATCCTCCTTTTGATTTCAATTACTACTAGTATATATATATATATATATATATATATATATAGATATATATATAGATATATATATATATATATAGATATATATATATATATATATATATATATATATATGCTTAGGTTATTCTATTCAAAGTAATTATTGTGTAACTGTATGCATAAATGTGGGCCAATCAAATTTACTTATTTTAAGAAAGTGATTAATATATTATTGAATTAAATATAATTGAAAAATATCATCTTAATTAATTACAAGGGTAATTTAGTCAATTAATATAGATTTAATAAAGGAAAGTTGCATTTTTTAAGGGATCATAGATTCTATTAATTTTAAAAATCCGATTTTACGAATTATAATTCTTTTAATTCGGACATTCTGACAGAATATGTTTATGAGTATATTCAAAAATAAAAATATTCTTGAACCGTAAATAATAAAAATATTCTTAAACCTATTTCTTGATCATTAATTTAAAAACTTCTTGTAGAATAACAAATTCTTGAACAATCAATTGAAGAATAAAAACAAAAAATACATTATTTCTTATAGAATACGGGTAACAATTCTTAAGAATTACATTTATTGTTAAAGAATAAAACTAAAAAAACTTTCAAAACGGGAAAAAAAACGTCAAAAATCTAACAACGACTAATACATTCTAAAAGAATAATGTGGTCCGTTTCAATTTTGTGGTCCGTTCTTCAAGCATCAACTTCTGTGATTCCAACAGAATTGGAATTCATGATTCCATTCCAACATAATTGGAATTCGTGATGCCATTCGAATAGAATTGGAATCTCACCAATATCATCCATTGAATCATCTACATAAACATACTTGATACCTTTTCAGAATTCAACCTTGTCAAGATCCTGTAATGTCCACATAAATAAAGTGTTAAATCAGAAACATAAAAAAACATAAATTAAAATATGAATCAATTCATAAAATGCAGCCAAAAACTGCTCATTCTGATATGTATATTAGTCCCAAATAAAATCAATTTCCCAACAACGATTGTTAATGAGGAACTTTCCGTCCCAACTAACACACACCAAGACAAAATGAGTAATACACAGAAGATTTGAAGAGAATTATTACGACCAAGAACAACAAATTAGCGGTGATGACGAAATCAATATCACCATGAATCATGTTAATGAGGAACTTTCCATGGCTTCTTTGACTATTTCTCCCTGAATAACGAATTAAAATCAGAAAATATATATACTCCATTCACAATGAAGCTCACACAGATTACATTGCATCACTATGTGAAAACACAAACACTAATGACACATACATATAATTACTTTGTCTGGCTTTTCATCGAATACCTGGAGTGCAGGTTTGGTGCACAATCACAAATTATCAATAACAAAATCAAACGTGACCATTTGAAGGAGGAGACGATGGCATCTGATAAGTTTGACCACATTCAGTAATAAATATCAACAACTTCACATCGACAATTCAATAAAGAGGTGGAAAATAGGGATCGGGTTGAATCGAAAAAAAAGAGGCGATTACCTGATGGTGACTGCGATCTCATTCCGATGGAGGAAAGGGATTAAATTCACATTTTATTTACCTGTTGATTGTGTGTGTTTGCGCAAAAATAGCAGAACCACCGATTGGAAGCAACTATTGATCGGAAGCAGCGAACAGGGGATAAGCGATCGTATCTTTGTTCTGTTTTGGAGCTAGGGTTACGAATGGGATAGAATACAGTATTGTTTATTGTTTTAAAAAGGAATAAAGGTAGGTCAAAGTATTTACTATAATTATAGGAGTGTATTTGTAGAAATTATTTATCAAATTACTAAATTACCCTTATTTATTTGTTTGATTATTTATTTATTTTTTAAATATTGATTAGCCCACATTTATGCATACAATAACACAATAATTACTTTAAACACCTGAACCTATCTCTCTCTCTCTCTATATATATATATATATATATATATATATAGATATATATATCTATATATATATATAGATATAGAGAGAGAGAGAGAGAGAGATAGAGAGAGAGAGAGAAAATGA